GACAGGTCCATTTAAGTGTAAGGCCCATGAATGAATAAAATTGTTCAAGCCGGAGCCAAAAACCCCCTGTATATTTTTATTTCTTTTCAAACTTCAGAATCTGGTGGGAATTAAGGAAAAAAAGCAACTATTTTCATCACTTACAGAGCATAGAATAGAGGCCAACGAGATGTTGGGTCTTATTATCCATTTGCTAGAGTCTAGTTCTGCAATGAGACCTACGAATGCAGCTAGGATGCTCACAAATAAATTGTAGAAGAACATCAGTGTCAGTTCTGCCGGGTACTCTTTCATGATATGCGTCTATGAATAAAACACCAAGTCAAGTCCAAGTTTTATTTATTTTACTCAAGATATTAATAAAAAGAACTATAGGAAAAGGAAACGAAAAAAATATTGTCATACTTGAATAAGACAACACCGATGACACTAAGATGCTTGTAACATAATTGATCAGGTCTAACATTGATCCTGGTTGAGCGGAGGTCAGTAACATCACCGAGTTTAATTGAGATTTCACACTAGTTAGTGAGTTTTAACTTCGATTCATAAAACACAGACAATTTGACATTAATGTTGGTTGGAACAAATGACACTTTAGTCTTCTTCTTTACTCTCCATATTTGATTTGTTGGGCTATATTCTCATTTGTAATCCTATATATACTTCTTACAATTTTCAATCCTATGACTTAAGAAGTTAGAACATCTAGAGGAGTTTATTTATTTAAGTTTTTTGTTTAACACGTCATTTCGCATATAGGCCTCATTTTTCAATTTAAACTACGTGTGATTTATTTGCTCTGTATCTAGACATTTTGCATCTATGAGTGACCTATAACTTGTTCGAAATTGGTGACTAAATTTTACTATTTTGTGTTGTTGTAATGTAACCTTTGTGCAGTTTTATTTTTTCTTTCTTGTTAAACCAAGGTGTTCTGCTTGTCCATTTACTACAACTTCTATATGGTATAGTACTAACTGTTTGATTTGCTCTATGAAGGCCAGAAGACCTAAGGGGGCCCTTTGAACAATTTGGCCCTTTAAAGGACTTCTATTTGCTAAGGGATTATTACACTGGGTGAGCTTTCATATAATGGTTTTCAGGATTTACGTTTAAAAAACGTTGCCGTAGAGTCTTTCCCAACGTTTTTTAAACATTGCCGTATCTCTTTCCTCAATGGCGACACTGACCCTCGCAACACACGCTAAAACGCTGCAAAAGGTGTTTTTTGGTGTAGTGATATATGATTTAGAAACAAAAGTTACTGTGTGTAATTTGACCTGATTAATAGAGAGGAAATCATGCTCTACTTGATTCTGAATTACTGTTGGAACAAATTCCGACCCAGCAATCAGATACTATCATTGTATACAGCCCAGGGGACATGGTCCAAAAACATCGGGAATGCTTTAAGGGTGGGTCGTAGTTGATGCTTTCCTTGAGCGAAGCTGAATTCAAGTAACATGATGAGTGAAGTTCAACAACCATTACCACCATCTTTAACATAAAGAAATACCCTTTGTTGACCCCAAAAAATGAACTCAATAGATGTCGGGCTCACTCTTGCCACGTCAAGTACGGATCCAGCATGTTTTCACCGGAATAGGAACGATAATCCAACTGTAGTGAACGTGGGAGGCACTTTCCAGCAAGAGACAAAGATGTTAACGTTCCGACGATATGATTTTCGGACAATCACTCTATCAATGATCTTCTTTTAACAAAATGGTAATGAAATATGTGGAAGGATAGATATAATGAGTAGATGAGTTCCTTTCTTTTCAATAAGAGTTCAAGTGACTGTATAAGCATGTGTTTGTCTATATTCTGTTCATCAATCCCCCCCCCCTTTTTTCTATAGAAAGAGTGACTATTTATACTGTTCTAGCCGGCGTGATGATCGTCAGATCAAGTCCACGCGGCGACATCTCCAGAACTGAAGCTTCACATCACTGTCCACTCATTACATTTAATGTTGGACTAAAGGTCAGCCGTTCTAGTAGTAGACTGGCATTGATTAACTACATGCACTTTACTGCAGACGTCACATCAATTCATTCAAAAAGATCTCCGAATCTGTTGTGAGGCAGCGTCAATTTCATGAGCTTTGGACAAGCCTGAAAGAACCTCGGATTGAATTGTGCCTTGTCTTTGAGGGAGTGCTTTAGGCCGAGGTTATGTGAAAGCATATGCTGCTGGGTTAAGAACTTCGACCCATTTTCTCACTCGGGCTTCTGATCTATTGGCCCTCCCCCTGATTCCTCGTTGACCGTTCTGCCACGTGGCCTAGCCTCTTTAGACCTCGAAATCGGGTGATAACACCCTTTGTTTTTTTGGATTGTAAATAGTCCTCGAGTAGAAAGGATTAATTCATTTCTCGGGGGCAGGGGATAATTCCAATCAATAATAAATGCAACATAAACTTGAGAAAAACCACATTCAAGCATTAAGTACACAAAATTCATCTTCGGGTATCATAAATTGTAATTTGAATTTATAGATTTAGAGATTCAAGGTACAGAAGCTCAGCTTAAGAGGTCAAACATCCTATAAACATATGCTCTCGGACCACAATCCAAGACTTAAAGAGAAGCAAACAACACAACAAACAAAAAAGTAAAACGAGATTTCTACATTTTTATAACCAAAATCCATCAAAGAAAAGAAAGGATGATATGTATCTTTGTAATGTTTCAACACCAAGCACCACAATAAGTTGAGCAGAAATGTGAGCATCAGATCCAACGAGTCCAGTGAGAACAACCAAACAGAGTACTAAAGTTCAATACTATTCTCCAGTCTTACAAATACATCTTCCTCTTTGTATCTTCTATTACACAACGACTACAATTTCTGGTTCTTTTCGTCCTCATCTTCTCTAAATAAATATATTTCAGAACTTGTGGCATTATTTTCTTCTTTTTTTGAACTACGCAGATTCTTTGAAACCAATTTCTTCATTTTTGATTTAATCTTATTTTTCCGTGATTTCCTCTTCGATTCAAATGATTCGCACATTGACTCTTCTTCCTCCACAATCTTCTTCGAGTCCATTTTTTGATATCCCAATTTCCCTTCACAACTGTACTTATCCATTTGTTTCTCACACTGAACCTTGACACAATTTGGTTCCATAAATTCTGATTCTTTTCCGTTCCCACTTTCATCTGCTTCATGTTCTTCACATGAGGCAATAGTATCTTCTCTAATTGAACTAAATTCAGAACTCTCAGAGTTATGCTCCCCTTTTTTTGAACTACGCAGCTTCTTTGGAACTAATTTCTTCATCTTTGATTTAATCTTATCCTTCCGCGAGATCCTCCTCTCCAGTTCCAACAATTCACGTGTACACTCTTCGTCCTCCATCACCACATTCTTCGAGCCAATTTCTTGAAATCCCAATTTCCCTACACAAATGTGCTCGTCCACTATCTCCTTCTCGCTTGGAATTTGCTCACCACAGTCTGGTTCCATAACTTGAAATTCTTTAAATGACCTCATTGATTCACAATTCTTAAAACCAGAATAGCCAGGATCAAAACAATCCTTATTCTTTTGATCTGAATTATCCTCTTTGAATCTGAAAAACCTTTGAATCCTTTTCACAATCAATATTAATCCCTTTTGTGCACCCAAACATGGCTTCAACACTCCGCAAGTATTTTTAGCAACATACTCCAGGAAAATCAACAAGAAGGCCGAAATGGTGATCCCCAAGACAAATTTCTTCGTCCCCAAAGCCAAAACCACCACCAAAAACATCTTAACAACTTCTCGCACAACCGTATTTGTACACACAACCCGCCTCCCTACACCACTCTCATTGATCCCCACAGCAACTTCATCAAAATCCCTAGTCTCTGGAGGCAAAGGGATGCAAGAAGGCGAAGGACAGCGAGAAGATGAAGGCGTAAATGAAGGACTGGGAAAAATGCTTGAGGATTCCAGGATCACTGGATCATTATTTTCGGTTCCTAATGGAATTTTCGGTGGCTTTGCCCGATTTTTCTTGGATAGCTTTTTCAATGTGTCCCCATTCTTGGTTGCAAAATCTACAAGGGAGGTAGGGATGGGCCAGAGGTGGTAAAGAGAAGATCCCTCAGGCCTCTTCTGAGAATTCTGCACGTGATCGTTCACCAATTGTGAAATTCTTGAGCTCTTCGCCTTCTTCCATAGAAATGGCATGGCGACTCACTTATTATAACCAATTATCCAGGATTCTAATAAAATAACATCAAAATGCGGAAAGTTTCAATATTGTGCTATTGAACCATCTAACCATATGAGTTGTAATGGCAGGCAAAAAGATCTTTTGAGGCGGAAATGTACGGACACCATTTGAATTTCGTTATGGGTCTTTTATCAATTATCCTGGATTTCAATCAAAAGAGTATCAGAACGTGGATTTTGTGCTATTGAAATTGAATCATCAAACAAATTGTAATAAGATCTTTTAGGTTGGAGTTTTACGAACATCATTTGAATTTCTATATGAGTTTTCATCAATGGGTGTATACAAGAATTTATGTATAAATGATTCAACAAATCATGAGGTAGATATGAATAGAATGTGCAGAGAGAAATGTGAATTACGTAGAGGAAGGGGATGTATTGGTTTTACTTTACCTCAATATTATGGACGGCGGGAAATAAATGAGTTGAATAACACGATTCAGAATATTTAGCAGTCTTTTTTTGGCAATTAATACTTAAATAGACATTTTTCAATATCTTCAGAGGTCTCCCGGATTTCTGATAAGTGGAACGGCCAAGTGGTCCTCGACAGCGGCCTTTTAACTCTCAAGTCAATATTAGTAGAGTCGGTAGCGTGTGGAATTTATCGACTGATGTTGACAATCCCTAGCTTCCCGTGTTGGAGAAGGCCATAATTATGTGCATTGCATTTACAATAAACAGTAAGGATTATGCAATAGACTGTTTTGGGCTTCCGAAAAAAGATGGAAAGTCTCGTACATTTTGCCGCATTAGCACTAGCACTAGTAAGGATTTCCATGAACATGTGTTATATCCTGGAAAACCTTAACCTGTTTCTCCGCATTGGTTTTATATGTTTTGTTGGAGTACAATCCTCTAATGGGATTTGGATTGAGCTGTGACCTCCAGTGTTCAAAGCTTTCCTTGATGATGGCAATGGACAATGTTTGTTGGCTCTGCCTTGCTTCTGATGCTGATGAAAACACAAAGAAGGTTTCACAGATTGGTTCTTTAATGAGGCAATATTCTCGGGTTGAGTATGACATTCAGATTTTTATGTCTAGTGCGTTGTCTCAAACTGAGACTGAAAATCCGATGCATGACTTTTCGGTTGGAAATTGATGTGTGATCCTACTTTGACGATATTTCACCCCTTTGACTTCTTTCTTTATCCAGTTGACCTCTAACACTCTCAAATCTTCATTGTGAGGTTCAACATGGCTTTTGAGTATTTGCACTTTAGTCCCCGAACTTTCGCTTTCTTTCATTTTAGTCTTTTTCCACTTATTTCTTCCAAATTATGCTATATCCATCAAATTACCACCTAAACCAAAATATGAGATTAATAAGTACATTTTGGCATAAAATAATCATACGAGCACATAAAATAAGGAGAAAAAATATGCATTTTACATTCTTATCAAGAATCCTAAGTTGTGCAGATCAAATATCAATGATAATTAGGAGTTTGGCTTGAAGAATGACTCTTGGATTGCTAAAGGCATGTTTTGGAACATCAAACCCGAGAGACGGGCGCCATAGTGCCAAGAAGAGAAAAACAAGTTAGAAACCCCGGTGCCGCCGGGGGGGGGGGAGTGGCGCCCGGTTACGTGATGCTTTCCTCAATTTTCCCCTTTTTCGAATTTTTGGATTCCTTCTCCATCTTGGACTCCAATAAGAGGTTATATATATATATATAGCCGCGTTGTATCTTCATATTATAATATTCTCATATTATTCTTTACATATTCAATAACATATTGAGAGATTGAGAGCTTAAATTTCAATTGAGATTATTGAAATCGTAATATTGTTAACACAAAACTATTAATTATAGTGGATTGTTCTCCTCTACCCATGGTTTTTTCCCTAATTGGGTTTCTACGTAAATTCTTGTGTTTTTGTTTTATTTTTCATTATTTCATTATACCATTATCTTACAATCCATTTCATAACAAGTGGTATCAGAGCACGATGTTGATTTTTTTGCATGGCGACAATGAAGTATGCAATTCCGTTGTTGGATAGAAACACGAAATTTACATTATGGCAAGTGAATATACGAGTGGTGTTGGCGCAGATGGATTTGGAGGAAGCCTTGCTTGGCTTTGATAGGATATCTACTNATATGCATTTTACATTCTTATCAAGAATCCTAAGTTGTGCAGATCAAATATCAATGATAATTAGGAGTTTGGCTTGAAGAATGACTCTTGGATTGCTAAAGGCATGTTTTGGAACATCAAACCCGAGAGACGGGCGCCATAGTGCCAAGAAGAGAAAAACAAGTTAGAAACCCCGGTGCCGCCGGGGGGGGGGGAGTGGCGCCCGGTTACGTGATGCTTTCCTCAATTTTCCCCTTTTTCGAATTTTTGGATTCCTTCTCCATCTTGGACTCCAATAAGAGGTTATATATATATATATAGCCGCGTTGTATCTTCATATTATAATATTCTCATATTATTCTTTACATATTCAATAACATATTGAGAGATTGAGAGCTTAAATTTCAATTGAGATTATTGAAATCGTAATATTGTTAACACAAAACTATTAATTATAGTGGATTGTTCTCCTCTACCCATGGTTTTTTCCCTAATTGGGTTTCTACGTAAATTCTTGTGTTTTTGTTTTATTTTTCATTATTTCATTATACCATTATCTTACAATCCATTTCATAACAAGTGGTATCAGAGCACGATGTTGATTTTTTTGCATGGCGACAATGAAGTATGCAATTCCGTTGTTGGATAGAAACACGAGATTTACATTATGGCAAGTGAATATACGAGTGGTGTTGGCGCAGATGGATTTGGAGGAAGCCTTGCTTGGCTTTGATAGGATATCTACTGCCTGGACGTAGGATGAAAAGCGGCGTAGGAATCGAAAAGTCTAATCTCAAATTATCTACATCTCTCGAATCAAATTCTTCAAGATGTTCTTAAGGAGCAGAGTGCAGCTACATTGTGGTTGAAGTTGGAGCAACTTTGTATGAATCTCATATTATCTACATCTCTCGAATCAATTTCTTCAAGATGTTCTTATGGAAAGTAGTGTCGCTGGATTGTTGTTAAAGTTAGAGTAACTTTGCATGACAAAGCCATCAAGCTACACTTGAAACAATGCTTGTATTCTAATTGGATGTTTGAAGGTGCGTCATTGGACGATCACTTAACTATGTTCACAGAAATCGCGGCTAATTTGGAGACACTGGAGGTTAAGTATGACGAGGAGGACTTGGCTTTGATGTTGTTGTATTCCCTGCCGCCATCATATATGACTTTTAGAGATACTGTTCTCTATAGTTGGGATACTCTCACCGTGGAAAATGTTTATGATGCTTTACTATCTAAGGAGCAAATAAGGCATCTTACTAGAGGATCTGAAAATCATGCTGAAGGCTTGGTTGTGCGTGAGAGGAATCAAGATAGGAATCTTGGTAGAAATAAGAGGGGTAGATTGAAGTCTAGACACGCTGAGAAGACATGTCACTATTGCAAAAAGAAAGGGCATATTAGAGCTAATTGCTACGCCTTGAAAAATAGAAATAAAGCTGTTGGTGCTACAGAGAAAGGGAAGCAACATATTAATACAACAGAGGTTGATGTTGTGGAAAATGAGCAAAGTGGTGGAGAGCTTCTTGTGATTTCTGATGGGAATTCTAAACCATGTGATGAATGAGTCCTTGACTCGGCTTGTACTTTTCATATGTGTCCTAACAAGGACTGATTTTCTACATATGAAGGAGTTTCGAGAGGTGCTGTGATTATAGGAAACAAAGCGCCTTGCAAAATTGCCGGAGTTGGTATGATCGAATCAGAATGTTCGACAGGGCTATCAGAACACTTACTAGGGTTGGACAAAACTCTCGAACCAGATCGGACTCGAACCGAACTGAACCGAATCGAGCAATCCTTCATAAGTTAAATACCTGAACGGGTATCTTAATCGAAAACTGACAGATTTGGTTCGATTCTCGGTTCTAGACCCAGAACCGAAGAACCGAATTTAAATATATTTTTAAATTTTTTATATTGAATTAATTAAATTTTTTTTATTTTTTCTAAACAAATTAGTAAATTAATTAATTTAGTAATTAATGTTCTAACTCCCAAGCCAAGTCCATGCCTAGCTAGTTCAGCCTAATTTCTAAATTCAATTTTTTGGCCCAATTATTAATTTCATTATTAGCCTAAGATCTAAATCTTTTTAAATTTTTATCCTTCTCTTTCTGATTTCACACTTTCATTCGGTAACCATTGAGTCACTGATAAATTGAAAACCTACATCTCCATGCCCAAATCAAAGCCGCCGACGTCGAGTTCGACTTCCCCTCTCCAACTACCCATCGAAGTCGCGACCTCCAACCACAACCACCGATCGTTGACCATTAGAAATCTGTTAAAAAATTAATTATGATACGGAACCGAACCGAACTGGACCATGTCTAGACCTAACACTTACAGATGTAAGACATGTTCCAGAACAGAAGTGAAATTTCATATCTTTGAGTTCATTTGACTCAAAGGGCTACAGATACATCGGTGAATGTAGAGTTTTGAAGGTAAGCAATGGTGCTCTTGTTGTCATGAAAGGACATAAAAACTCTACACATCTGTACATTTTTCACGATTCCACATGATTGGGGATGCAGCAGTTTCTAATTCTTCTTTGACAAATAATGAAGTTACAAAACTTTGGCACATGAGGCTTGGGCATATGAGTGAGAATGGAATGCCAGATCTGAGTAGGAGGGGACTTCTTGATGGGTAGAAGACGAACAAAATAGAGTTTTTTGAGCACCGTGTCTTTGGGAAACATAAGAAATTCAGATTTACTAAACAAAGATGAACACTTAAATATATCCATTCAAATCTTTGGAAACCAGCTAAGACACCATCTAAAGGTGGCTATTATTACTTGTTGACAATAACTGATGACTTATTCAGGAAAGTTTGAGTATTCTTCTTGAAGCAGAAGAGTGATGTGTTTGCGACCTTCAAGGAGTGGAAACTATTGGTAGAGAAACAGACCGAAAAGCAAGTGAAATGTCTACGCACTGATAATGGGTTAAAGTTTTGTTCAGATGAATTCAATAGCTTCTGCAGGGTTGAAGGCATTTGGAGACACCGACAGTGCTTGGAACTCCTCAACAGAACGATGTGGTAAAACGAATGAACAGAACCTTGATGAAAAATGTTTGTTGTATTCTTTCAAATTCTGGATTGCCTAAGTCTTTTTAGGTTGAAGCTGCTACTACAGCTTGTTTTCTGATTAATCACTCATCCTCAGTTGTCATTGATAAAAAGACACTAGAAGAGGTATGGTCTGGTAAACTTTCTTGCTATTCTGATTTGAAAATTTTTGGGTGTCCGGCTTATGCTCATATGGATAATGGGAAGTTGGAGCCTAGGTCTAGAAAGTACATTTTTCTTGGGTATAAATCAAGTGTGAAGGGGTATAAGTTGTGGTTACCCGAAATAAAAAAATGTAGTTGTTAGTAGGAACGTAGTATTTGATGAACTTTCTATGGTTCGTGGTTCATTTCTTGGGGATTCTGATAAAGTTGAGGAGCAGAATCATCCAACTTAGGTGGAGTTGGAAATTGGTTTAGAGAAATAATCAGAGGTTGCAGAACAATCTACTGCAGATGATTCCAAGTCGAGGTTGACAGACAGTAATATCCTGCCTACTTTGCCTACATCACCAACACCACAGTATTCTATAGCTAAGGATGACCTTGCAGATAGATTAGACCTACACAGAAGTATGGAGAAGCAGATTTGGTAGCTTTTGCATTGAGTATGGCTGAAGACATTGATTCCACCAAGGAGCCTACTAAATATTCAGAACCAGTCAGTTGCGATGATTTTAGCAAATGGATAATTGCTATGTAGGAGGAATGGAATCATTGAGCAAAAATAATACTTGAAACTTGGTGAAATTACCTAATGGTAAAAGAGTGGTTCATTATAAACGGGTGTTCAAAAGAAAGGAAGGCACATCAGGGATTGAATATGCTATATACAAGGCTAGATTGGTGGCAAAAGGATACGGCCATATTTCGGGTGTTGATTTTACAGATGTGTTCTCACCAGTTGTGAAGTATAGTTATATTCGGGCTTTACTTGGAGTGTTGGCTAAGAATGATTTGGAGTTTGAACAAATGAATGTCAAAACAGCATTCTTACATGGAGAACTTGAGGAGAGCATCTACATACAACAACCAGAGGGGTTCATAGCTTCAGAGAAGAAAGATTATGTGTGCTTGTTGAAGAAATCCTTGTATGGATTAAAGCATTCACCGAGTCAGTGGTATAAGAGGTTTGCTTCATTCATAACTACTCTTGGTTTTGATAGATGTAATTATGATA